TTTAGTGCTAAGAACTATATCAAGCTCTTTCTTGTAAATATTCAATGTGATTGTTTGAACCGCTTGACTCTCACACTCTAGCTGTAGAAATTTCTCCTCACCTTGGTCCTAAATGACACCCTGGTACTGGACTCCCTGATTATTGGGAATATTCTTCCCATGTTTACTCTCCGGTCTGTTTGAGTTTTATAAAATTCCACATGATCACCCCCGCATTCCTCTGAACTCCACTGAATATTGTCCTAACCAGTCTCTCTCTCTCTCTCTCTCTGTCAGTCCCGCCATCCCAGAAATCAGTTTGTGAAACCTTCACTGCAGTCCCTCCATATGGAGAGGGAGGGTGAGAAACAGACCAAGAAAGTGTAAGGGCAAAATAATGAGCCTGCATAACGAACACCTCTTGGAAAGACTGTGTTGGTTAAAAACGGTTGAATCAGAATCCCTTGCAGAGAGACTGGGTTGCTGCTAACAGAAGGGGAAGGGGCCCTGCTGAGACACCGGTGGGTCCACTGAGACGGCTGCAACCTGCTGTGAGAGAGGGCCACCCCCGCCCCCCCCCAAGGTTGGCAGACTGAATGTGGGGTCGAATGTCAGGGGTCACTGCCCACTGCACCCTGCTGCCTGCCTGCCTGCTTGCTTCCTTCCTTCCTGTGCTGCACTCCCTCACTGGCCTCAGAAGTTACCCGGGCCCCAATAAGCCGGGGCTGAATCCCACTGCCGAATACCAAGCTGAGACAGCAGAGCAAAAGGAGTGAAAGCTCCTTACCTTCTCCAGCTGGTGTCTGGGGGAGGTGACAGGTACGCAGAACTGTACGGCGAGCTATCAACGTGCACACAATGGTCAAGGAATCTAGCTCACACCAGAACCTGCACTGGCTGGGGAATGACTGTGGACACCGTGCCCAGAATGTAATGAAATGGGGCATTCAGACTGCAGCAAGGGTATAGGATAGGGGTTGGACCAACCCACAGAAACGTCACACTCATCCACAGCCCCCTGCCACTCTGCAAAACACCCGACAGCCCTCATGGGGAGCAGGCTCTGAGCTCCGACTCGAGCTGTCAGCAGCGTCAGTGCAGGAGAACAGGGAGGAAACTGACTGCTGATCACATCACTAACAGGTCAGTAGCTGCTCAGAGACATGGACTGAAGCTCAGCTTTCCCGCACAGGCACCCTGTTTGAAGGGACGTCACAGCAGACCGCCCAGTGTAAAAGGATATCTGTCGCCTGTGAGGGGAATTCAGCCTGGCTCTCTGTACCCGCTCCACCAATCCGTGATGCCGTGTGCCACGACTGGAGTCCAGCACAGAGCTGAAGGGACTCTGCAACACAACAAACAACAAATCAATTCAAAACAAGCACACATGCTGCACAAAGAAATCAGCTGTGATCAGTACATTCTGCCCCAATCACCTCAGATAACACTGCCCTCTCCACACAACAGGTTTATATAGTGACAACATCAGGGCCTTCTCAAAGCACTTTAGAGCCAAGAGAAACCTCAGTAACTGAGGTCACAAAGAGAATACTGCAACCAACTTCTACCCTATGCCCGCTCCCTCCGCGCTGGCCCTCCGACAGTGCAGCGCTCCCTCCGTGCTGGGCCCTCCCACAGGACAGTATTCAATCTCAGACGGTGCTGCTCTCCCATAACAGACACCAATTGGAATTTGTGCTCAATGTGGAATCTGAACACTCAACAGAGCAGTGAGTCCCTCAACTACTGAGACACAGCAAACACAAAATTAATAAGTAAAAGCAGAAATTGACTGGAGTTAATTAAAGATCTTCAAAGTCGAGGCTGTGTAGCCCAAGATTAAAGGGAAAATGCCCGACTTGCCCCAGTGTGAACCTCTCGCCCCAGATGCTGTGAATATTAAGTATGAGTAGTGAACAGGCCCGATTACCTGGAATTCAGTGTTGTTGCTGGAGATGGCGTTGACATTAGGCAGTGACCCACCATAATACGGCCCTCGGGTATGTGACAGGCGGAGCTGGTGTACCTTTTGAGCCTGTAACTGGGGGAGGAACAGACAATAGGTTTCCTGGGGTCAAATCAACACCAAAAGGCAACAGGGGCTGGCACTGCCCAGGGGGAGGTGTGACAGGCCAGAGGGAAAAGACATCACAAGCTGACAAAGTACACACATAAAAACAGTTTCAATTGAACCGTGAGCTTCAAACCACTCTCATTACTTTGCCCCAGGAATTGTTAGAGTCCCAGGGACCATCAATTTGTAAATATACCATAATATAAACAAATATAGACAAACAGTCAAGTAGAAGTGACACAAATTTCAAGTGGAAGGGAAAATGTAGGACAGATGGAGAATGATTTCAAAAGTGTAATGCGTATTTAAAGAAAAGCATCCTCCACACTAACCCCTTCAACACTGTCAGGACATGAACAAATACTGCCCCTACTAAATAGTGACAGATCACAGACCACCAGATGAGTGTCCCGGTAATACAGTCACACAAACGTCCCAACCAGTACTGCACCCCAATGCATTATACTGACAGACCTGTCCCCACCAGTACGGTATCCCAGTGTTATACAGTAACAGACCTGTCCCCACCGGTACTGTACCCCAGGGTCATACAGTGACAGACCTGTCCCCACCGGTACTGTACCACAGTGTTATACAGTGACAGATCTGACCCCACCGGTACTGTATCCCAATGTGATACATTGACAGACCTGTCCTCACTGGTACCGCACCAGTACCACAGTGTTATACAGTGACAGACCTGTCCTCACCAGTACTGTACCCCAGTGTTATACAGTGACAGACCTGTCCTCACCGGTACTGTACCCCAGTGTTATACCGTGACAGACCTGTCCTCACCGGTACTGTACCCCAGTGTTATACAGTGACAGACCTGTCCCCACCAGTGCTGCACCACAGTTTCATACACTGATAGACCAGTCCTTGCCAATACTATGCCCCAGTGTGATACACTGATAGATCTGCCCTCACCAGAACTGTACCCCAGTCCTGTACTGCAGCATACCTGTCTCCACCAGTACTGTATCCCAGTGCTATACAGCACCAGGCCTGTCCCCACTGGTACTGTATCCCAGTGTTATACGGTGACAGACCTGTCTCCACTGATAATGTACACCAGTGTTATACAGTGACAGACCTATGCCCGCCAGTATTTTACCACAGTATTATACACTGATAGACCAGTCCTTGCCAGTACTGTACCCCACTGTGATACACTGACAGACCTGTCCCAACCAGTGCTGTACCCCACTGTTATACAGTAACAGACTTGTTTCCACCAGTACTGTACCCCAGCGTTATAGACTGACAGACCTGTCCTCGCCAGTACTGTACACCAGGGTTATACACTGTCAGACCTGTCCCCGCCAGTATTGTACCACAGTATCATACACTGATAGACTAGTCCTTGCCAGTACTGTCCCCAGTGTGATACACTGACAGATCTGCCCTCACCAGAACAGTACCCCAGTCCTGTACTGCAACATACCTGTCCCAACCAGTACTGTATTCCAGTGCTATACAGCAACAGACCTGTCCCAACCAGCACTGTAACTCAGTGTTATACAGTGACAGACCTGTCCCCACCAGTGCTGTACCACAATGTAATAGAGTAACAGACCTGTCCCCACCAGTACCAAATTCCGGTATTATACAGCAACAGACCTGTCCCCACGGGTACTGTACCCCAGCGTTATAGACTGACAGACCTGTCCCCGCCAGTACTGTACACCAGGGTTATACACTGACAGACCTGTCCCCGCCAGTACTGTACACCAGGGTTATACACTGACAGACCTGTCCCCACCAGTACTGTATCCCAGCGTTATAGACTGACAGACCTGCCCCTGCCAGTACTGTACACCAGTGTTATACACTGACAGACCTGTCCCCACCA